AGGGAGGTGATGCCTCACTTCCCCACCTCCGGTGTTTACACCCTCACCTGGGGACAGAAGCCCAGCCACACAGCTCATAGCTTTGTCCTAGGATAGCTGCAATAAACTGGTTACTTCGTTCAGGTTGCTGTCTTGGCTGGGTGTGGGATGAGAGGGGCTTAGGGGCACAGGAAAGACCACTTGGACCTCCCCACTGGGATGGTGTCCACTTTTGCTAGCGGGATGGGCTGACCTCACTGTCTAAAGGGGCAGATATGGCCACAAGCATTGCTGGGGATGGAAGATGGTGACCAGGAAGTGGGGCTGTGCTCCCAAAGCCTGCAGACCTGCCTTGGCTCCCAGATATCAAGGCCACGCCCCTTCTTGCAAAACTGCAGGCACAGGGACACAGGTGGCGTTGAGCAGCTGGGAGGCATCACAAGGAATGCAGGGCATCAGCTCAGGTTTGGCATCCATAAGTGCACAGGCATGTCCAGCTCCACCTGCTATCTCTGGCCTCACTGTCCACCCGCAAGTTGCCCTCAGTAGACAGCTGGGGACTTCCCCTGCACTCTGAGCTCTGCCCTGACCTGGTCTCTCCACGCCCTACCCCTTTTTGTCAGTGGTGGAACAGACCACTTAGAAGTTCGCTCCTTTTAGGGAAATGGGAGAAAAAGAGGGGCTGTCACTTGGTAATTAAAAACAGCCCAGTTGTGGTAGGCCGGACCCAGGGCTTCTCTCACTGCAGCAGCTGAGAGAGGCCAGACCCTCCAGCAGAGACCTCCAAACTGCTCCATCCCCAGGTGCCAGCTTTTGGAGAGTGGGAAACCAGACAGCTAGGGTCCTTTGGGAAGCTCCACACAGTACCCTGACTTGGGGCAGGGGTGAGTCTGTCCAGGGTGAGGATAAGACTTGGGTATCATGACTCAGGCCAAGGAGACAAATGCCTGGAATGAGAATGGCTCAGCGCAGATGGGCTTTGGGGGAGGGGTGGTTTGATAGGGCAGGGAGGGAGATGGGGGAGCAAGATGCAGAACAGCATGCCCCACTTGCTGGCCCCTGGGACATGCCAAGCCCGCGCAGTACAGGCTCCTTGCCCATTGCTCAAGATTCTAGCGCACATGTGAGTGGCTGTCTGCTGGATGCCCGTCTCCATGGAGACCAGCTCTCCCATCTTCATTTCCTGCCCATTGCTTTGGCTCCCCTTAGGGAAGGCGAGGGAACAACATCCAGAAGAGCCAGCAGAGAAAAGCAGCAGCTCGCTCTGCCTGGCTCTTCCAGCTGCCTCCCCAACCTCCTAGGACCCTGGCCCTTCCCTCTAGTCCTAGTAGGACCCGGCCCCATGCCTGGCCACCCTTCCTCTTTTCTCCCTGCCACTGGCCAGTAGGATCTCATGCCAGAGGCTTGGGCTCAGCCCTTCCCATTCACGTGCTGCTGAATCATTTGAAAAAAATGCATCCCACTCCTGGGAGGGTTTGCCGAGAACAGTGCGGCTTTGTGGAGGAACTGCTGCTTTGCAATTTCTCCGCCAAGAACCCGTGCAGGAGCCAAGCTCAGCCCTGCAAACCCCAAGCCGGGGCAGGAGGCAGAGGGAGCTTGGAAAGGGGCCCAGGGAACCCCACCCACCCTGCCCACAGGCTGAGGGATGGGGCTGGGGACAACACAGAAGCAGAGGCAGCAGACCAGGGTCCTCTCCACGCTGTGTGCTGCCGTGTGACCGTGGGCAGTCACATTCCTCATTAACTGACTCATTTTCAAGAGCAGGCTGGACCCTTGGACTCTTGCGTTCAGCACTGACAATCTGTGAACCCTAGCTTACGCGTGGGACCCTGAGGCATGTAGCTGGTGGGCTGAACCCAGTTCACTGTGTGTCTCAGGAGACAGAGACAGGGCTGAGAAGACTGAAATGCCAGAGCGGCACTCAACTTCAACCGGGAAAGGACCAAGGAGACCACTGGGGGCTTTGGTTCTGGCTCCCCTGTCCCTGCCTCATTTGCACAGCCGTCCCTGAGCTATGGAGAAAGGCAGGGTACAGCCAGGGCAGACCTCTGTCTGTAGCCTAGGGTCCTGACCAGGGTGGTTGTGGGCTGCACCTTTATCTTCCATCTTCCAGAGAGGAGGCCAAAGGCTGGACTCTGACTCAAAGCTTTTGACCTGACCTCTTGCCATTTTCCATCCAGTGGAGGGAAGACTGCAGATCAGAGAGCGTTCCTGCCCCACCCCACAACTTCACAAACCCTATCTTCCCTTCCCATCCTCTTACACGTCTGAGGTCCTGGGTGCTAGTGTGGACATGCTAGCTGCACACCAGGCTAGGTGGGGAAGGAGAGGTGTGAGGATAGAAGACTGACCCCCACCCCCGCCACACACACACACAGGGTCACAGTCAAAATCTCGTCCAGCCAGTGCAGGAGTGGGCTGTGCTAGCCAGGGGAGCTGCTGTGCCTGTATCTCTTGCCATGGCTTCTGTTGGACACTGAAGGCCTACCCCCAACCTATAGACAGCTGACCCCAGCAGCCACACAATAGCCACTTTGCTGTTGTCATGCAAACCTACCAGGGCAGCCTGGAGATATTTCTGAGTCCCTGGGAGTTTGCATACAGCAGGGACTCAAAGAAGAGATCAGTTGGTGTAGAGTGAAGTGACAACAGGGGGACACTATCCCCTAAATGTGGGTGGAGAAACACAAAGCTCTACAACAGTGCTAGGAGAAGGAACCTGGAAGTGTTTTAGGAGGAGGAAGATAAACATGTCCTCCAGCCTAGTATCCTCCCCCAGCTCACAGAGCTCTGTACAAACCCTCAGGGAGCTCAGTGCCCTTCCACTGGTGCAGCCCCATCTCACAGTCAGATGGAGGCTGGGTGGGGCAAGGCAGTTTGCAGGGCTGAGCTGTGAACCCAGGCTGGACCCAGAGCCCACCAACATTGCCATCTGTGGGACCTGAGACTTCAGGGAGGATTTGGGATGCTAGGCAGGTGCCAGTAGGACCTAGGCAGTGTCCCCTCTGTGTGGTTGTGTCAAGAATGAGGGTAACAATAAGAATGTCAGCAAGAACCTGGGCATGAGGGGAGGAGGTCGAGAGTCAAGCCTCAGGAAGAAGCACAGAGACACTGGTATCTTTCCAAGGCCACCAAGCCATCATCAGGTAGCAGAGCTGTGTTGTCACCACGATGCAGTGGTTCCTGGTGTGTGGGGGTCGGAGGAGCCCGGGAGGTTCGAGGCTGTCCTGAGCTCTTTGCGCCACTGTCCAGCAAGGTAACCAAGAGAGCAAAACCAGGGTCTGCAGGACCCCCCAGGGGAAGGGATGAGAGGTGTCCAAGACATCTTCCCTTAGAGGAAATTGCTGAATCTCTTTTTTGGGGAGGGGGTCCTCAGGGGCCAATTTGTTACCCACACTACTGGCCTGGGCCAAGGCTAACCCATCTCTCTTCAGCCTTCTCCGAGACAGGTGGGAAAGGACAGGGTGTCTTGCCATGCTGTCAGGGGCCAGTGTAGGTGTGACTGTCCAGGCAGAGATGAGTCACCCTCCACTATGTCTCACTGCCCATCCCCACACCTACTTTTAGCTTCAGTGTGGCCAAGAAGGGACGATTCGTCACCTAGAACACACAGGCCACAAATACTACCTTTGCAAATGGAAACAAAAATAACCTACGCCAAAGAAGGCTCGTCCCCTCGTTAGGCTGCGGCTTTCAGGCTAAGTCAGGAGGTTCAATTACACAATGTTGGGTTCCACTGCGGTCACAGCTTTAAACCTGGGGATCCCACAGCACCCTCTCTGCCTTCCCAGAGATGACTTGCTTCTCTAAGCATCACCTAAAAGCCAGGCACCAGGTGGGTGTGAATGCAGGGGATATGATGCTCAAAAAACAAAAGCAAAACCAAAAAACACCTGTGGGCTGCAATTTTGGCCCCAACCAAATGGGCACAGCGTGGTGGTGGCATTTGAGTTTGCAGTTCCCACAGGGGTCCTGCTCGGGTCTCTCAGAACCACACACACGGGGCCAGTGTCTTGTACCTCTCTGTGGGCTCATCCCTCACCAGCGAACATTGCATATTTTACTTATTGACTATGTCCTCCACTGACTGAGAGCCCCATAGCCCTCTGTGTGCTGTTCACCACTTACCTGCAGGAACAGGGTCTGGCATTCAGTATTTGTGAACAAAAAATAGTAGAAGAGCAGGTTGATCGCTTCCAGGGAAAAATGGTGAAATCGGGAAGAAAAGGAGTGACAAATGGGATCTTTCCCGTACCTACTTTCCAGCAGAGGTGTTCACATCTCCCAAAAGCACTTTACACAAAAATTGAGGTCCAAACCTGGGATAAACCACCAAAGCACTCTTTGGTGCCTAACCTTTTGATCCAAATGAATTGGGATATACTTCTGTTTTGAGAAACAGGCACAAAAGAAAAGAAGCTAAGATTCCAGAAAGAAGGCTCAGAAAGCCCACCATGAAATGTGCAGTGCAGACGAACGACACCCTTGTGCAATGTGGATGACATGAGGAGCTACACTGAGAGGGGGGAAAGCAAGGCTTCTGAAAGACCACTTTTTGTAAGAGTTTGAAAACAAGTGACACCAAGCACCATAATGCTTAGCCTACGTGTGTATGATAAAGGGTGGGGATGAGCCTCAAGTTCAGCAGGTGTATGTCCGAGGAGGAGGAGGCAGGCCTACAAAAAGGTTTAAGTAGCATGTGGGCAGAATTTCTGGTTTTCACCAGACATATCAAATCCTGGGTTTGGGGGAAGGGCTCACAATTGTTCATTATCATGTCTACAAGATACACAGGAAAATGGCAATTCATAGACCAATGACACAAACGTGGCCTGACCAGAGATGGTTGATGCAAGTCAAAGCGTCTGTGGTCCTTTAAGGGGAGGGAGAGAAGAGGAGAAACAAAGTGGAGGAGGAAGGGAAGAGGGATGGGGGAAGGGAGGGAAGAAGTGAAGGAGAAAGGAAGGAAAGATGGAGGAAGAGAGGAGGGAAGGAGAGAGGAAGTGGAGGAGGAAGGGAAGAGGAATTGGGAAGGGAAGGAGAGAGGAAGTGGAGGAAGAAGGGAGGAGGCTCAGAATTCTCCCAGTCCAGGGACCAGCAAACTGTGGCCCAAGGGTCACATTCAGCCACCATCTATTTCTGTCAATCAAGTCCTAGTAAACTTGGCCACACCCTCTCATGTCTGCATCCTCTGTGGCTGCTTTTGAGTCCCAGTAGCAGAGCTGAGCAGTGTCCAGAGGCTGACTGGCAAAGCTAAAGCATTTACTATCTGGCTCTTTGGGGAAAAACTCTGTTGACCCTTGTCATAGTCCCTAAGCCTGCAAAATGGCAGAGAAAAAAACCTACCCAGGGTGGCTGCTACAGCTACTGATTCTGAAGTGAAGTTAAGGAGTTAGGAAACTGACCAAACACCAGGTTCTCCCACACTGCCAGCCCCAGGGGGAGTCACCCAGCAAAGCTGGGGTTGCCTCCCCCCAGCCCCCAGGACCTAAGAATGGTGAAAAGTTGTGCTATAGAACAACATTGGCCTGATTGTTTTAAAGGGGCCAAGAGAGGCTTTAGTGCAGTCAGTCCCTCTGTCAATGTCTCAGCCAGTGGCTAAGCAACAGATGAAGTATCTTTTGAAACTGTGCCTGCCTGACCCGGGATGCCCTTAAAAGTCCAGTGTTTATTGGGCTCAAACATCTGAAAAGATGATTTTACCTGGAGTTTCCATATGTCTGCAGCACACAAAAACAGACGCCCCTGTGGGAGACTCGCCTGCGGTACGTGGGCTGGACTGGCTCCCTGGACCCCACAACAGGCTCTATTTTTGTGGGAAGGAGCTTTGCCTGGAGGGTGGTGTAATGTGATTTTAGGGAAGCCAGAGGGGGATGAGGCACAGACAGACCTTAGACACGCAGGTACAGGGCAGGCAAATGGACACTAGTGATGTATTTATCATGGGTGGGACTTGCCTTTAACATGTTTTCTGAAAGTCTTCCAAGCGTTTCCTGGCTTTTTCCAGAAACTGCTTGTGCAACTTGTTTTGCTCTGAAATCTGCTGTTGAAGATCATGGATCATCTGCTTGTGTCTTTCCTCGTTGAGAAGGCTGCTGCCTGAGAAGGAAGTGATTCTGTAGTCAGATCCTCCTCCCCTGGTATGGAGTCCGTTGGGATAAGCTTTCAGAATGGCCAAGCGAGTTCTTCTGCGTTCCCGTCGCTCTTCCTCCAGCTCAGCCTTGTAGTGGATTTCTAAACTCATGTCTGGGTGTTCCATCTGCCCTGACAGGGTCTTCTGCCTTCTCTGCTCCATCTCTGCTTTCTGCTTCTGCCTCAAAGCCATCCATCCTGTTCTTTCCTCGTGCTTCTGTGCATAAGGCTGAGAGGGCTCCTCCAGGAGTGTGGCCAGTCTGGGCTCCTCCATCAGCTTGGCCAGTCTGGGCTCCTCCATCAGCGTGGCCAGTCTGGGCTCCTCCATCAGCTTGGTCAGTCTGGGCTCCTCCATCAGCTTGGCCAGTCTGGGCTCCTCCATCAGCGTGGCCAGTCTGGGCTCCTCCATCAGCTTGGTCAGTCTGGGCTCCTCCATCAGCGTGGTCAGTCTGGGCTCCTCCATCAGTGTGGCCAGTCTGGATGGCTCATGTGCTGACTTGGGGACTTGCAAGAGCAAGTCCTCTTCATCAGTAGATATCCCTGCCTCAGAGAGTATCTGACTTTCATTTTTTAACATGGGTTTAGCCATCTGATGACATTTGAGATTTTCAGTTTTGATCAGCAGGCTTTCCAGACTGGTTTTGGATGACATCTCTGCAGCCTCAGCCTCTGCTGCGCTCTCAGACTCCCCAGTAGGCACTGCTTCCATCACCCTGGGCAACTCCAATCTCGAAATGTCACTACTCTGTCCCTGGGTCTCTGAGAAGCCCTGCTCTTCATCCGTGTTCTGATCTGCCCTGGGCCTCTGCTCAAGGTGCAAATTCAGGTGCCTCTTCAGCTTCCTGTTTGTATTAAACAACTCCTCAAAAGCAAACTCCAGATCTTTCTGCCATTTGTTCTTCTCACCGCACTTGAACAGAGACCCTGGGGGCGTAGGGCTCCTTCTGTCGGGATTGCTGACTGGCCACAACTCTTCTAGGTCATTCAGTTTCCCCTCTGGACTATGATCCCGCCAGTTGTATTTCAGGTCTTGCATAAAGTGAGGGGTCCCCCTCCCCACCTGCCTTCTCCCATCCCGGGCCGGTTCCATTTCCTCTTCCTCCAGGCCCTCAATTTCCTCCACAGGGGCCAAGAGCGGACTCAGCTTTGCTAGGTCCATGGCTCGGCTCAGCCGAGAGCTCACGGACCGGCGGCTGCTACTGGTCTTGCTAGAAGGTGCTCGCTTTCCTTTGTTTTTCTCAGGGGGACTCAGCCCCCGGGGTCTGGAAGTCCCCCGCCTCTCTGGACACACTGTCTTCTTCCCCGATTTGTGGTGCCAGGCTTGTTGTCTGTATGGCTCTTCCCTGTGACACCTCCCCTCTCTAAAGGCAGTTTTGTGCTTCTCCCTGCCTCTCGGGGATCTTGCTCGCTGATGGATGGGCCCCTCCAAGTCATGTTCGTGTCCTATTGCCTGCCTTGCAATCCCACCCAACAGACGGGCTAAATACAGCCGCTCCAGGTCTTTGATTTGCTGTAGCTGGGCCTCCTGCCACTCTGCCTTCAGCTCCTCGGCCATGCGTTGCAGGTGCCGGCTTTTCCACTGCTGCACCTCGGGTCTTCTCTCCAGAACCACGTCACCTTTGTCTCTGACTTGCAGTGATGCGAGCTTCTGCCTCAAAGCTAAGGCGTCGTCATCTGAAGCCAGGCTTGTCTCAGTGGTTAGTTCCATGTCCTTTTGCATTTCTGTGAGTTTGGTAGACACCACTTCTGAGGAAAGATGACTGCCGCCAGGAGCAGAGGGTTGCAGGGCCAGGGACCTAAGGAGCTACTGAGGCCACAAGTGTTCTGTCACAAGCCTACAACAGGAGGAGGACACACGCTGCTCCCCGAAACAGTCCAAGGAGGGTGTGCAGGGCCCTGGGGACAATGCACATGGGATGCTCAGTGCAGGGACAATGAGAGAGGGCCCTTGGGGTCTCTCCTGACTCTGCCCACCAGGCCCACTCCCTGACTCTGCCCTGCTTTGCACATACTTGACAAGGGTCTGTTAGGGTGACTGTGTTCCATGGGATATGGTTCTGCCTCCTAGGGGACATTTCACAACATCTAGAGATTTGTTGTTGTTGTTTTGGTCATCACAACTGGAAGTGGGGGAGGTGCTACTGGCCTGTGGTTGGGGACAGACCAGGGATATTGCTGAACATCCTGTAAAGCACAGAGTGGCCCCCATGACAAAGAATGATCTGACCCAAAGTGTGAATGGTGCCGAGACAGTGCCACCATCTTAGGAGGCATGAACTAGGACTCAGGTGGGGCAGGAGGGTACAAAAGAAAGCACCTGGGGCAGGTGGAAGCAAGGGAGGAAGCCTGGCCTCCAGGAGAGCTGCTCACAGACAAAAAGAGGAAGGGGCAAGGTGGAGGTGCTTGCCAGGCAGTGTGTGTGCACGGGTGTGTGTGTGTGCGTGTACACGTGTGCATGCTGCTATGTGTGTGCATCTGTACGCCTGCCGTAGCAGCCCAGAGGCATGCATGCAGGTGCATGTATGTGGGTGATGTTTGACTCTTGAACCCAACACAGACAAAACAGGAAGAAAAAAGGGTGTGACATCTCTTTTCACGACTCCTGGCCTTTCCTTGTGAGGTTATCAGGGGCCTTTGCAAGCATCTGGCTGAGAAAGGCCCTCCTTGGGCAGGAGGTGCTTCCCCAACAGGGTACAGTTGCCACTTAGAGCTGGTGCCAGAATAGCCAAATTTCTGATCGAAGCAGGAGCTTCCTGGACTCTGTGGTTCATATAGAAAGCCCTGGACTGCCCTTGTTCTTTTTTTTTTAATCTGGGTGGAACCAGGCTCAATAACTTGAGCCTTGAGCCAAAAGAAGTCACATTGATCAGAAAGTAGCACTTTGTCTGTATCACAGTCAGGCTTGCCTCTGAGCACTTATCTATCAAACTGGATTTTTGTTTTTAGGACAGGGTCTCACTATGTAGCCCAGGCTGACCTAGAATTCACCATCCTCCTGTCTCAGCTTCCCAAGCGCTTGGATTACAAGCGTGCGCCACCACACCTGGCATAGATCATCTTTTGTATGGGACCTTGGGAGGTAAGAAGCTATTAACACCCTTGGCTCTCAGATGGGGAAACTGATACAAGGGGACAGAAGGACACTTGATCCAGGTCACACAGCGGGCAAGAGGCAGACTGGCCCTCTGCTGCTTGGGTAGACCACAGCACCTTTGGCCAGCCATGGTTGGCCACACTGTCACTGGCTTTGATGTACCTTTTTTGGGGAGGAGGTCCTTTTACCTCTTGGTAAAGCAGACTATGCAATTAGAATAATATACTTAGAACAGTTCCTAATATTAAACTCCACCAGTCTGCCAACCACCATGATGGGCAAGAGGAGAGAGTGACAGAAAGCAGGGGTGTTCAATGCACAAGGATGCAGATTTTGGAGGAAGGCGACACAGAAACTCAATGGAATGAAGAATTGTGTTTTGTTCTTTGCTCTTTTATTCTCAAAAAGCAAATGGCGCCATGATACAGTTGGCTATGCAACGCTAACACAGGAATCTAGACCCTTTTCTCACCTCACCTACAAGAATTAATTCATAGACCTTAATGTAAGGTCTGAAAGCAAAAATGCTTAGAAGGAAACAGGTGTGTACTTCGTGACCTTGGCTTAGGCAAAGATTTCTTAGATGCAATACCCAAAGTTCAAGCAATCAGAGAAGAAACTGACAAACAAGATGTCAAAACTGAAACCTGCGTGTTGTGAAAGTCACCATTAATAAAGTGCAAATACAAGGCACAGACTGTTAGAAGATATTTGGAGATCATATATCCAATAAAAAAGTCCAGTCTAGGATATTTACACAACTCTTACAAAGCAATAAGAAGACAAATAATCTAATTTTAAAGCAGGCAGAAGATGTAAATAGACATAAAGGATAGTCAATGCCAACATTCAGGAAACACAAACTGAACCTGCAATGAGATGCTACTTCACACCCATTAGGATGGCTACACTTAAAAACAGGTGGAAAGCCAGGTATGGTGGTGCACACTTATAATCCCAGCTACTCAGGAGGCAGAAATAGGAGGATCTAGAGACAGAAACAGCCTGGACAAACTTAGTGAAACCTTATCTCAAAAGCAAAATAAAAACAAAAGTGGTAAGGGTTTAGCTCAAGTGATAGAGCACTTGTTTAGCAAGCTCAAGGACCTGTGTTCAATGCCCCATACTGCCAAAAAAAAAAAAAAGTAAAAATTGAAAAATTGGAACCCTGCGCACTGTTGGCGGGAATGTAAAATGGTGTAGCTGCTTTGGAAGACAATGTGGCAGTGTCTTTAACAGGTGAACAACAACTGACTATATAACTCCACTCTACCTTGGAAAAATGGAAGCCTGAGTCCACACAAAGAACTCCAAGCTCAGAGAGGCCAAATAAGGAAGGTCTTCGGCTCAGAGAGGAGCTGGGTTTGCAGCTGAGTCTCATGTGCCAAAAACTGAGTTTTTCCCACCCCAACGAGTGGCCACCAGGGTGTTCAAACAGGTAGGGATGGTCTGGGTTGCTGAAAGTATTCTTTTTGTCGGTCCTGGAAGACACCTGGAGAGAATAGGGCAAGGCCTGCCCCAAGGCACAAAGACTTAATTCTGAGCCTGGAGCCATGGCCCCCCACCATGTCCAGCAGGAGACAATCACTGAAGCCTGCTCCAGAAGTGCCCCCAGCTCGGTCAGTGACCCACACTCGGTAGAGATCTTGGGATAAAGTTCAGGAAATTACAATGGCTCTGTAGTTCAGGAACCGATGTCCCCATGACAACTGCTAGATACGTCCTCACATGCCGCTACATCCTTAGTGCCTCCCCACTCGTGCCTGTGCCCTCCCCACTTGCTATCTTGCAATCAGAGGACAGGGTCCTTCTTGGACTGGTGGGTGTGCTGGCAGGGAAGGCCACTAGGGCCTCGCTGAGCCCAAGATGACGCAGGGTAAGTGCCTGCTCACCTGTTCAAAAAGCCCCGTAGGAGACGCCCTCTCCACTCGGGATGTCCGGCCGCTCCTGCATGTCTCTCTTGGGGTCTCTCCAGCCTTGCAAGATAGGCTCCCCAGTGCCCTGGGCAGGGCTCTTGCCAAGGGAGACAGGCATGCTTCTGACTGGGGTCCTCACTACAGTGCCCCTCTCTCAATCCATCTGGACTCTGTTTACTGGACCTGGTGACCCTTCGTCTCTTATATCTTTGCAGAGTGTTCTGAGTTTCCCCCATGTTGCCCCTACCCCCAGAGCAGACAGTTGCCTTTGGCCGGCTGCCTTCAGCCAGTCCAGAAAACCACAGCAACTTCCCGACAGAAGCTGCCCTTGGAACAGTGTGGGGGAAGCCAGGCTGGACACCCTTCTGGCCTTTGGGTGGCACCAGAGCCTCCTGTCAAGCACAGTGGACACTGGGTCAATTTTCTTTTGTTTATTGAGGTTCTGTGACCCAGAGCATGGAGCCAGCCTGTGGCGACCACACCCAAGTAGCTACCTGGATGGATTTTCAACAGATGCAGAGCCTGTCCTGAGAGCCTGGCCAGAGGCAGGGAAGCTCCATGCCACACAGGTGGTTCTGGCCTCCTCTTCTTCCCAAGGAGACCCCAGTGCCTCTGAGCAGCTGGGCTGAGAGAGTCTACTGTGATCCCAACAAAATCAGGGGTAAGAAGTAGCACAACCAGAGGCTGCGAGAGGCACCAGTGGCAGGCTATCAGGTCCTGTGGTTGACTAGCATGGGAGCTGTCCCTCACTTCTGCAGGAAATGCAGGATGTGACCCAGTCTGATCCACTAAGGCGTGATATGGTATGAACAATGTACATGTGAGGCCTCTCGAGCCTGTCTTGGAGCCTTGGGGTGGACCTGTCAGGGGTGCGCAGTTCCCACAAGGAGGACAGTCACACAGCTAACTTGGTGACAGTTAGAACCTCTACTTGCTGGGGTTTGTTGTAGGGATGCTGCTGGACTCCCCAGGTACCATGATGGGCATGGGGTTTTAAGTTCACCCATTGTGGTTTACCATCAATATGACATTGACCTTGCACACGTGGGTACCCAAAAGACACAGCAGATACCACTTTCTGCCCCAGACACAAGTCGACAACATTGAGCACCACCGTCTCCAGGGACACCACCAGGACTCAGCTGCAACTTTCCACCCTCAGTTATAACTGGCCTCTCCAGGTTGATGTCATTCCTTTGCTCCCACTGGGTCTCTGATGGTCTCACCCACTCCATTCTCTCTGCTGGAACCCACTGTGACAGTTCCTGGGATTGTATGTCATAGATATTTAAGCAAGCCAGGTAAATAAGCCAGCAGCTTATTTACCACACAGCTGGCTGTGAGGACCCAGCATTAAAAACCACGCAGCCTCAACTGACCACAGGCCTCACACCATTTCACAATCTCACCTCAGGAGGTGAGATCTAGTCCTACCCCCACTTTCTGAAGGGGAAACTGAGACTCAGAGAGGTTAAATAACTTCCCTGAGGCCACCAGCTCACAAGCAGTGCAGCAAGGACTCAGATCCAAGCAGGCAGCCCTGACCCAGGCTCTTAACCTCTACTGCAGATGGAGGGCAGAGCTGGAAGCCACTTTCTCGGCATGAATGGGCTCTGGCCTGAACTTACTTGTCCTCACCTGACCTCTGGCCTCTCTGGCCCTCCTGTGGCCCTGAGAAGCATGCTTGGCCTCTGATGGCAGCTGAGGCCTGAGATGGCCTGAGTGCTCCCTGTGTGTTGACCAGCAGACACCTGGATGTCTCTGAGTTCAGCAGATGGGCAGTCCTCCCACTTGTAGCTCACGTATTTTATTCCTCACCATGCAGCCCAGGCTGAGGCCAGCCAGGCGCTTCTCCAGCCTTGTTAGGTCAGGTCTGGTTCAGCAGGACTGGGATGGGCCCAGACTGTGCACGTCTCAGGTGCTTCCCATGGCACAATGCTATTGGTCCATCGACCAGCTTTTAGTAGCCACCCCAGCAAATGTGTCTCCGTGAGGCTGTGCCTTGCTCTGCCCTCC